TTTTCATATTCATTAAGTTTAAAGTACTTTCAATTTACCTTTTGATTTCCTTTTTGACCCATTGGTTTAGACATGTGTTGTTTCCATATATTTGGGGATTTTTCCAGATATCTTTCTGGTTTTGAATATTAGTTGAAATCCATTGTTGTTAGAAAACATACTCTGTATGTTTCGGGTCCTTTTAAATGTACTGAGACTTGTTTCATGGTCCAGGAAATGTCCTGTGTTAATAATTGTGACATGTGCACTTAAATGTGTGTTGTGTGTTGCTCAGTGGAATATTCTATAAATGTTGATGAGATCAAGTTTGCTGATAGTGCTATTCTACATTGCTACTGATTTTCTGTCTATTTGCCCTATTAGTTGTTGAGTGAGAGGTACTGAGTCTCTGACTCTAGTTGTAGGTTTGTCTGTCTCTTTCTACTTGCACTTCCATCAGTTTTTGCTTCCTCCATTTTGAAGCCTTACATTCAGATTAGTATGTCCTTTTGATTAATTAAACACTTTATTGTTATGAAAGGGCCCTCTTCTACCCTTGGATTCTTTGCCTTGAACTCTACCTTGACATTAACATGGCCATTCAGGTTAGCATGGATGCCTTCTTCCATCCTTTTATTTTTAGCCTCCTGTGTCTTTATGCTTAGTTTCCTTCAGAATTTCTATAACATCCAAGTATCTTCCTCAATACAGTCATTAACTACAAAGGGAAAAATCATAACTTTACAGTGGAGAATCCACCCCCATGTGACCAAGAAACTATCATCAGTAATAAGACAGATGACATCATATGGTGCTTGTTTTGCTGGACTGGGAAACACATCCCTTCTGTGGTATTTTTGCCAGGCACACATGATCTCCTTCAGGCGACACACCCACAGTGGGAGACATTTCACAAGGTGACTGATGGGTACACTTCAAACATGAGGACATCACAGTGATGAGGAAAGCCTGACCAAGTCACTGTCACAGACGGGGAAAGACTAACGGAAGTAACGTGGGGCTGCCTGGGGGCGAGGACGCAGCAGGGGTGTGTGACTGGATGCGGCCCGCAGTTCAGGCTGTGGTGTCTCATGCCGTGGCATCCTGCCTTGGTGCCCCAGGGTTAGAGCTGGCTGGTACGG